CCAACACCACGGTCCCGCTCATTATGTCGCCACATCGCATCAAAACGCTCACTAATGCTGCTACCAGATCGGAAACTTTGTGGGGATAGATCAATATCAGGGCTATCATCAAGACCCGAAAGGTCTAAATCATGTTCAAGAGAAGCGTGGATTGTTGGGGATGCGGTCACGCATGATTCGCCCTAAACAGAGAGTAACAGTCATAAATCTATCAAAAGAATCATAAAATGCAATGTAGTACGCATATATTTGTTGTGAATAACCAGGAATGGATGGAAAATAGAAACTGAATCCATTGCCTCTGCTTGATACACTTCTAGAACTTACCGTTTTCGGCCGAGGAGGAGGTAATGCAATTTTCTTCCTACGTCCCTTCTGTTGTAAGAGCAAATAATAGGTCGCGGTGAGGTAGTCAAACTTCCATTCCTAAAATCTTATCATCATCCACTTACGAACGAGTCTCAAGCTCTGAAGGATTCATCAGACTTCGTTGAAAAGCAGTTAAAAGCGCCTACAAACACCCAAAAGCGCCATGAAGCGCTGAAACGCCCCCTTCACAACGCGCAACGCAACGTAGCCTTGAACACAGACTTTAACATCGAAAAGAAGTGTGAGCGCAAGATTTACTTTCGCAAGTTGCACGCACGAACGAAGAACTCTAATTTTTTTCTTTTCGGCGAAGTCTGACGATGCAGTGCTACTCCAAGTATGATTAAAGCTTCATACAATGAAGAATAATGATATCATGAACAACCTTGATCAAATCGGTCATCTCTGCAAGAGATTTTCTGTGATGAAAGGCTAATTCAGTGGCAACTTCTTCGTCAACTACGTTCCTCTGAAAAACATGACACACATTAGCATGCCACTGTATAGCACTGGGTTACATCATAAATGCTAGTCCACTTGAGTTTCTGGCTGTACTTGTGGTTGATCCATGGATGGTCAAGTAGCTGTTTGACGGTGATACGATAGCGAGGGTTGACCTAAAGTCATGGAAGCAAAGCAGGAAATCAATAAAAAGTTTTGGGTACCTGCAACATACTTCGAAGTAAGGTGCGACTGCTAGGACTGAGCCACTCTGGCTCGTGATATTGTCCCCTCTGAAAAGGTGAGGATAGATTTTTCCGCCATGAGTGATGCCATAGTAAATATAGTCAAATTGCTCTAAGGCCCGTATGCTCGTACATCCCGAGGAGGGAAGGGGATCTGAGAGGGGATGCGACATATCTCGCTACTCT